CCCAATTATTTTTCACACTATGAGCCGTTTTTAAAGGGGTGTCTAGTTCACATAAATATTTTTATATGAATTCTCATGTAAAATATTCGAAAATAAAGATTTATACAGTAAAACTATTTTCTTCAGTTTAATTTTTTGTATCTTTGTAGTAGTAGTATTCTCTATACATAACTCTAATCTACCTTATTGATTACTTCATAACTTTTATCAGATGAGTTACTTTTGGTAAAGTGAAATAATTTAGTTAGTTTATTAATCTCCGTGTGGATTCTACAAATTACAAAACATCATCACTTGCTTAAATAAAAATAAATCATCACTTGCTTAAATAAAAATAAAGGGGGGGTTATTGGCACTAGCATTTAGATAGAGTTGGGTGATTTTGAAAAGAAAAGATAAGATGAGACTCAATCGTGTAAAGAATCTGTGAAGGTGGAATCTTGAGACTCTCCTATAGTGAACTTTTGAAAGAGTGAGTCACAGATCGATCATTCATCATCGTGTAGTGAACTTTGCACCGGACGAGCAATATCTCTCCAGTGGCTGGGCTTGGCTTGGTCAGGAGCAGAGACCAGAACTACTTGTGTTCTTGTCTCCATCAAACCCTGAATTCTCCAATCATCTCTGGTTGGGTGTGGTTTTGTTCATTCATTCATCTTTTCATCGTCTCTCCGTGTAAGGAACCACCTATGTGTTGTATCATCGATGTAAATCGATCAGAATTACAAAAAAGGAACAACACTTCCAAGAGTGACAAAAATTAAGAAGAATGAATACCGGAACTCGATGCAACTCCTGTGCCCAACCACTTGCTTTCCTCTTGCATGCCGCTGTTTCCTATCAGCTCTACTACTGTAGCTTGCTCAGAGGCTTTGCCATTTCCTAAAGACTCTGATTTTATCGTCTCTGAGACACCGTTATTACTTTGATTCAGTGGCACCGCCGGTCCTTTAATCCTTCTGTAAAACAAAAAAGTTTCTAAGAAATGTGTTTTGATAACTGTGAGAGCTTATTGCAAATGATATGTTAAGAGGGTTACCTGATCAGCTTCCGCTTTAATGCACCAGATTTCGATTTTAATATACCTTCTCAATAGAGAGAAAGGAAAGATGTCACTATTGGTTCTATACAATAAGTATGGAGTAATTAATCAATTATGGAGGCTAACCAAATTTTGTGCCTTGAGATGATGATGGTGCCTTGCGACCAGTTCGCTCGGCTTTAATAGAAGCAATGACCGAATCAGCTCCAGGACCTAGACCTTTTCTTCCCACCAGTTTCACTCCAAGTGTCTCGCATAGATAGTAAAGTCTCTTCTCATCACCACCTCTGACTTCTCTCAGGTCAAGAGCCTGTTGTCTAGTTACTAACGTATACACCTGAATCTGTTGCTGCTGGTTGAAATGAGACTGAAGCTGCTGAAACAGTATCTTATTTGAGTACTGATCTGCTTTTGGGTCTTCATTCCTCTTACGAGGCTCGCTTAGTGTTACCCTCAAAATCGCAGGAGACTTTGGGTCCGGATTNCTTCTNCTAAAGATTATGNAAAAACTCCCAAACTCCAGATCAGGGTCCCTGAACAAATCTGCAAGNAGGGTAGCACAAGAATGAGNATTCTTTGATGGGTTCCTATCGATTCTCTTCCTTATGCCCCGGGCCTTTGCAGCTTGAGCCATGTTTGCAGCTTCTCGCAGACCAGTAACGAAAGCTCCATGCATGGTTGCAGGGTACCGCCTTGTCGTGGCTTCCCCNGCAAAGAAAAGCCTTCCATCTCCAACACTTTCTGCTAATATGTCGTAATCATCACCTGAAGCTCCCACTGCAACATTAGAGTAAGACCCTAAACTGAATGGATCCCCACCCCATCTGGTGCAGACCGTTTGAATTGGATCAGGGACAGTTATTCCTTGTGGTTCATACATACCTGAAATTCATTAGTGTGACATTAGCATAACTTCATGAAATCTGGAATGCATATCTTTAATTAATAATGCTAGGCCTACGTATCAGGGCTGATATCTTAACTGAATTAGTGGAGATTAGATCTCCTGAAGAATGATACTGACATGTAAAATAATAATTAAAATTGACAATCAGAATATAGTAAATCTATTACCCCTAAGAATCTGAAGTACACGAGTCACCGCGTCAGTGGGTGGCATTGTCTCAAACTTATGAGCAGCTTCTCCCGCAACCAACGCGATCAAGAGAGCACCACCTGCAACTGGTGCATAGCTATAGAACAGAAAGAATTCACCTCGATAGTTTGGATCCTCGGTAAGATGTCCAAAGGTATCGAGATCTGTGCTCCAAAATACATACGGAAAGAGCATTGCAACTTTATTCAATAACCCAAAGCCTAGTCTCTTTATACAATCAAGCTTTCTCTGAGGCAATTCAGGCACAAATTTGATGGATCCGTTCTTCAGGACACCAAGGGGAACTGTACACAGCACCATATCACCCTCATACACTTGATTTCCAGCAGTTACCTTTACACCATCTGTACCATATCTGATTGTTTGAACGGTCTTCTCATATAAGATTGGTACATTTTCAGCCAAAGCATGAACCAGCCTTCCATTTCCTCCCGGCAGAAAGCAGTGGTCTCCACCCATATCGTATGGGTCATCTTGATCCCAGAATGCAAGAGAGAGCTTTGATACTAATCCCGCATTTGCATATTCCAAGTTAGCAAGATGCCAATTAAACAAACCCATCTCTTCAGTGGCCACACCGTCTGCAGCACCATAAACCTGCCTGAATGTCTCGAGTGCTGCCCCAAGGGATACATCCATGGAAACATCACCCATCAACTGCCTAAGTTTACTTGCCTTGTCTAGAAGTCGGTTAAAAGCTGCCTCGACTTTCATATCCAAATCTGGATCAACTGGTTTACCATCCACTCTATAAAGAGGACACTTATCTCGTACCTTATAAAGAGAAGAACCTAGCTGCCTCGCTATAATCCCTAGAGGATTTCCTAATGTTCCAGTCAAAACGCTTCCTCCTAAATCCGCTGCAGCACCTGCCCTATTACCTTCCATCTTTTTGGTATAAACCCGTCCACCGGGTCGTTTCCTACCTTCCAAAACCGTGACTTTAAACCCAAACCTCATCAACTGCCTTGCTGCAGCCAAACCAGCTAATCCAGCACCCACTATAACCACACTAGGCTTGCTTGATTGAGCTGGAATCTTATCTTTAATCGCTTGAGCTATACCGAAATTGATATATCCATGTGTAACCAAGTAATTATAAGCCGAATCTAAGAGACTACTACAATGTTTAGGAATTGAAGCAAGAAACATCTCCTTTGTGACCCAACTAGTCACATTTTCTCTCCACTTCGATATGATGTGGTTCCGAATCAAAATGTAATTCACTTGTTCGATTCCACCAACCACAGGCACCACACCGAAATCAATCTCTTCCTCGGTAAGTGAATCAGCAGGAAACCCAGCTGTTAGAGCAAGCAAAGCTTCGGTGGTAGCTTCCTTGTTGATCGTGATGATCTCATCACCTATCCCAGGATAACCTTTTACAGTATGGTTTGATCCATTGACCTCTATGTTCAGTCTACCGGAAGAAGAAGCTGACGATGAGACGAAATTACCGTTACCGGGGAGGACACCGACGTTAGGAACGGGAAGGATGTGAAACGACGACGCTGATCGCTGAGAGCGGCCTCTTCTTCGTTTCTTTGGAGCGGAGAAGGAGACCATCTGCTCAAAACTAGGGTTAGAGATAGAGCTGGAGATCGAACTAGGAAATGGATTCAAAATTGGGTCTGGATTAAAATTCGAGCTCGATTGTGGAGGTAGAATAGAAAATTGAGAGTGAGATACAGAAGGGACGTTATCTTGATTCTCCTCCGGCGGATTCATCGTTCCCGTCGCCGTCGAATTAGCCAGGAGAGTGGTCGATGAGGAGGAGAGAAAGAAAATGGGGAAGGAGGAAGAAGAAAAGGATTGTTTGGTTACTCGATTAAGTTTATCTCTAATGAACACGTACGAGCAACTTCAAACGTAATTATTCTGGCTTACGTGTA